TTGAAATCAGCAGTGGTTCTAGAAAAGTGGAATCCATACTGTTGGTCGCCCAGGCACTTTATGTTAAAGGGCGATGTAAATAATTTACGAAGAATTTAGAAGTGTTGCCTTGTCAAATCGGACGGCATGGCTGAAGAGTTTGATTAGTAAGACGAGAGTCAATAGATATTGTTATCAAAGTCCGAACTAACAATATGGGGCCTGAGAATATTAGAAATTTTGGAAGACGATAAAATTTGCCTTCGATACATCTCAGGTGAACGCACTCATTACGAAGGGCCTTATTTTGTGTATTCTGACAGTAATGACATCAGCAGTGGTTATAGAAGAATTAAATACATACTGTTGGTCGCCCAGGCTGTTTATGTTGAAAAGAATATTAGAAGTTTCGGAAGACGTTAAAATAGTTGGATGGTTTGAAAGGGCTAAAAACAAAAAGCCGTAAGCCCTATTATATCTATAAAATATCCAAAGTCTCAGCATCTAGGCACTGACTAGGCTCGACGTTGCTTGACTTCGGTAATCCTACGGCAACAGGTGTTTCAACGGGATATGCCAACAAGTCCTTTATACCACCCACACATCCAATCTTAGCGCCCCTGGTATTCCCAAGAAGTCACCCATGTAGGTACTGATCAGGTTCAACGATGCTTAAATTCGGTGATCTTAAGCAGGTGTTTCGATGTGATATGACCCATTATATCACACGTAAATTCATACTAACAGTAGCTGCTATACCCAAGCGGTCACCCATCTAAAAATGACTACGTTCGACGTTGCTTAAATTCGTTGATCCAACTGGAATCGCTGTTTCGATATGATAAAGCCGTAAGCATAATTACATCTATAAAATATCCAAAGTTTCAGCTTCAAGCTACTGACCAGGCTCGAAGTTGCTTAACTTCGGTGGTCGTACGGATACCGGTATTTCGACGTTGATGCAGCCAGTGATATCACTCGCACATTCATGCATATAACAGCTTGTATTCCCAAGCAGTCGCCTATCTAGGTAATGACTAAGTTCGACAACGCTTAAATTCCATGATCCCACTGGAATCGCTGTTTCGACGTGATACGGCCGTAAGTTTAATTACGTCTGTAAAATATCCAAACTTACAGTATCTATGTACTGTCCAGGCTCGACGTTGCTTAATAAGTGTATACGAATTACCGAGTGTAGGAATTGTTTGAGCAAGTCTGTAACAAAAAAAAAAAAAAAACAAAGATGGAAAAATATTCCGTGACCGCCACTTATTTTTATTCGTGGAGTTATTCTTATTTTCATTACTAGAATTTTGTTCTGGGTTTCTTTGAGAATAGGAATGGTCAGTGGCATCTACTTTGAATATTTTTATCCATTCCCAGGTCATTATTTGACACAGACAAAATTAACAAACATTAAAAATTAAAAAAAAAACAAACAAGAAGACGTCAACTTGGAAGAGTTTTACCAAAAACGATCATCTCCATAGACACTAATTATATATTTTCGTCTCTACATTTAGCTGTGAGCGGTAATCTCATTTCTAGGAGCTTATCCATTCCTGGAAAGGTTATCGGGACAATTTCCTTCTCTGCATATATTAATTATTAAACATATTTCAAAACTTTACTCCCTAATCCAATCAATTCTTCATTTACTTAAGGCCTGTTTTTGTTTTTGTTTTTTCTTAATCTAATGATGAGAGATTGCCATACTAAATATCACCGATTGGATACAGGGTGCGATGGATAAATTGTCGTCTAAATGACGCAAAAATGAAAATAGCATCTCATTTTAGCAGATATATTTACAGAAATACACTCAAAAATATCTCGAAACACGAAAGATTAAATTTATTTAATAAGATCGCCATTGGCTTCAACCATCGCCTCCAGAAGACTTCGGAATCTCCTGCAACCCCTCTGGATGGTCGCCTTGCTTAAGTTGGTGAATGCTGCCATAATACTTGTCTCCGGTTTTGTCTTTGGTGTTACAAGGAGTTTTGTTGGACTCTCCCATTCAAATGCGCCCCATACATAATGATCAAGATGGTTGGAGTCTGGGGAGTTAGCTGGCGAGGTGTAAGGAGTGATATGGTCTCCGAAATTGTCTGACAGCAATGATTGGATTCTCCTGCTTGTATAGCATGGTCCCGTAGGAAGACAAAGGCTCTTTCAGCAGTCATTGTTTTTACGTCGTTATAACACATTATGTAGGCCTTTGTGTTGAGTCTGAAGCCTCGTGGGAAGATTAATGGAGGCATAAAGTTGACATTATTAATGATCACTCCAGACACTATGATGATACCTGGATATATCATACAACTCTTTCTGAATTATCTTTACTCTGATTACATTGACACCCAAACACTGAAATGTTCGTAGTGCACCTTCCGGCACAAATGCCAATCAGTATAGTATGACGTTTCTAAATTTCTGGCGAAGTGAATTGCGTCATGGTGTTCTTTTTCTCAGGGACGATACCCAAATGACCCAACTATACTGTGAAGCCGACAAAATGAAAAACAAACAACGCGCATGCTCAAAATTTAAAAAAAAAATACATTGGCGAAAATTAACCCATCGCACCCTGTATATCCTGAAATATTATGGTAATGTGATTCACCAGTGCCTCGTTATTTTACGTAAAAGAGTACTAGCCGAATACAACCACCATACTTCTTACTGGCACTATTTATATTTGGACTATTGTTCTCATCTTTGTTGTTATTATCACAATGTTTCAGTCATTGTGCTCTCCAGCCTTCCTCAGGTGTATATTGACCAAGGTAGCCGACAGGATTTTCTGAACTGAACCCTTTATTTAATCTACGGGGATAGACTGTTCTCTTTCCACTGCTCATATCTATAGTATATTGCTGCTGAGCTCAAATAAGGCGATGAAGGCTTATATATATATATATATATATATATATTACAATGAATCATTAATTATATTATAATCATGATTTTTAAAAACAAGAATCATAACATTCATCGAGTGATTTGTAGGTTAATGCAACTTTAAAATTTTGTTAGCGAAGGGAATTCGCCATTTTATATCATTAACTTTACTAATCTTCTTTTTTGTATGAATGATTCATTGTAATATAAATTGAACTACACCAAATATTTTATATATATATATATATATATATATATATATATATATATATATATATATATTGTATAAGTTACGGCGAATGGGCAGAGTGAGGGAGAATCAAAAGGTTAGGATTGAGCACACAGGAACTGAATGTGACAAATTTTCGGTGAATATCGTCAGTCTCTCTCAAGATCAAGAATCGAACCGGTTATATAATATTTGGACACCTACGCAACTTCACGTGGCTACGCCTTCTTCCGGTATGTCGCCTACGCATCATCGTTTGACCACGCGACTTCTGGCTCGCGCCAACGCAAGCACGCATTTCCTTCCGCCCAGGACCCCTGTTTATTTTAGCAACCGGATGTATTTCCCGTTTATACTATCACCAGTTCCGATTTTTCGCTGATGCCGCGGAAGTAAGGCCAGAGGATTTTCTCAGCCGATATCCAACAATGTTTAGATATCTCGACTCGTTCTTATTTTTATTTAGTACTCTTCAGTTATTGCTCGTCCGTTTCCACTGAGTGCAAGTAAACATTTCCCGAAACGGGGATTGAACTCACAAGCACTGATTCATCAAATTCACAAACGAACGCAGATTAAATAAAGTTGTTTTGTTCAGAATCTCCTGATTGGTATATACCAGAGGAAGGCCGGAGTGCAAAACGGCCAAAACGTTGTGATAAAAACAAAGATGAGGACAATAGTCCGAATGTAAATCGTGTAAATAATGGTAACTCTTCATCCCAGAAATTCAGAGGAAAATTCTTCTTTGTGCTGTGTCTCCCTTCAGGACGTTGGCGATCATGTCGCTCCACAACTTCCCGCCCTTTGTAGATCTTAGCAAAGTTCTGCCATCCATTTACGCAAGCTCTTTAGGTGAGTTATGTATGGTTTTAACTCTGCCAGTCTTGCCTTCAATCTGTCTTGTGGGTGTTAAATTTTCCAAGCCTATTTTCCTTATTATGGGCCCTGGAAATTTCAATAGTCACTTTCTGAATATCAACAGATTACGTTGAAACATCGCTTCCTGTACACTCACTAAAAGTAAGCAATGTCGAGTCTGGTCAGTACTTAGATGGGTGACCGGTTGGAAATACTAGATGCTGTAAGCGTGGGATTTTTATGTTCACTTACCTTCAAACGCTTTTAGCAACGGTATGGATCCACATAATCCCCACCGGTAATGGGTTAATTAGTAAGAACCTTTTTTTATCGCAAAAGATATTCTTAGAATTTAAAAATATTTTATGGCTTTAAATAAGCTGTAAAAGGTTGATAATCCATAAAAAATGAATGGATCAAATCAATGTTTATTATCATTTTGCTTGGGCCCTTTTCGCTTGCGGATTTCAGTTTGTTCTTTCGAAATGTCTTTAATATATATATATATATATATATATAAATAAAAAAATTTTTTTTATGTTTATACATCCTTTTTATAGATACAAATATTTAAGTAAAGGCTCGGTTTATAATAAACAGCATTTATTGACCTGAATGTCCGAGAAATTTTCATAGAAAATATTACGTCCTCCGAAAGAATCGAACCTGTATCCTATACGGAACCGTCATATAGGTTGACATGCCTTAACCGATTGAGCCACAGAGGATCGTTCGGTTATCAATGTCGATTTTACTGCTTTTAAACCTCAATCTTCCATGAATCTCTCACGTACATTCATATCTGCTCAAAGCGTATCCAAATGTCAACAAATGACGTCACACATTATGAAATGGTCAATTATTTTAAGATTTTTTTTATGTTTGTATTAGGTTGGTGCAAAAATAATGACGTAACAATGTCGTTTTTTGACCTTAAAAAATACGTCAAAAACGACATTATTACGTCATTATTTTTGCACCAACCTAATACATTCTTTTTATTGATACAAATATTCAAGTATGGATGTACGTGAGAGATGCCATGTGCCATGTTTTAATGGATGTCAGTTATCAGTTATCTCCTGTTAATTTCCCTCTGAAAGTTCTTCACTGCCTTAACCGGGTATTGAACTCATAATCTTTGGGTCCTGTCACTGGATCTAACCAACGCCTTTATCCACTATGCCATGTGTCCTTGAGAAACTAGAACAGTCTACCCCAGTGAGCGAAATAAAGGGTTAAGTTCGACATCGACATTCCAACCACCTAAAGAAGGCCGGAGCGTACAACGGCCGAAACATTGTAATAATGATGGCAACAAAGATGAGGACAATAGTCCGAATAATGTAAATAATGTACATAATACCTCATCTCAAAAATATAGACAGCTATCATCAGGAAATGTTTTATTTCTTATAACCTTTTTTTTTTGTTGGGAAAAGTGGTGAGCTCATTGCAGTGTCAATTCCTAGAGATATCACTTCTTGGATAACTGTTCTTTTTTTAGGTACTGCTTATTTATTTTTCTTATAAATATGAGATAAACGAACTGCCTAGTCCAGGAAGTGAACTTCTAGTTCTTTTTCTTCTGCACATAGCACTCCACAGCTTCCTAATCTTAATAGCCCTTAGCATTGCTTGCCTCTTTCGCTCATTAGGTTGGGTACTAGCTGTTACATCCAGCCGCGCTTGACTTTCATATCTGTGAGTGTCAGTTTCTCCAAGTATTTTTTTTCTCATAATGAGTCCCCGAATCTTTTAACTGTCTCTTACGGATGCTGAGGAAAAGTATGACATTTTTGTTTCCATTTTTCTGAATATTTTCTACTTACAGACCCAGTATAATCGCATCTTTCTTGCTTTCAAATCTCCTCTTCATCTGTGAAGAAACTCACACGTATCCACTGTCATAGAGTAGGATTGTTTTCTGTTTATTAATACTTACTTTAGCTTTGGGAAGGCATCTTGCGCAGTTCAATTCAAGTTCATTTTGCTGTGTAGCATTTTTTCGCCGTTTGTTCCCAGATATCTATCTATCATCTATCTCAGTGTGTTTCATATCTATTTCCATCCATCTATCCAATCTATCTATCTATCTATCTATCTCAGTCTGTTCCTATCTATCTATCTATCCATCCATCCATCTATCCATCTATCCATCTATCCAGTGTGTTCACATCATCTATCCATCTATCTATCCATCTATCCATCCATCTATCTATCAGTCTGTTCCCATCCATCCATCTATCCATCCATCCATCTATCTATCTATCTCAGTCTGTTCCCATCTATCCATCTATCTATCCATCCATCTATCCATCCATCCATCCATCCCAGTCTGTTCCCATCCATCTATCCATCCATCCATTATCTATCCATCCATCCATCATCAGTCTGTTCCCATTCATCTATCTATCCATCCATCTATCTATCTATCCATCCATTATCCCAGTCTGTCCCCATCCATCCATCTATCCATCCATCTATCTATCCCAGTCTGTTCCTATCTATCCATCTCATCCATCCATCTATCTATCTCAGTCTGTTCACATCCATCCATTCCATCCATCCATCTATCCATCCATCCATCCATCCATCTATCCCAGTCTGTTCATCCATCCATCTATCATCCAATCCATCATCCATCCATCTATCTCAGTGTTCATATTCATCTATCCATCTATCCATCCATATCCATCTATCTATCTATTTATCTCAGTCTGATCCTATCCATCTATCTATCCATCATCCATCTATCTATCCATCTATCTATCCATCCATCTATCCCAGTCTGTTCATCCATCATTATCATCTATCTATCCATCCATCCATCTATCCATCAGTCTGTTTCCTATCCATCCAATCCATCCATCTATCTATCCATCCATTTATCTCCAGTGTGTTCACATCTATCCATCTATCCATCCATCCACATCCATCCATCTATCCATCTATCCATCCATCTATCCCAGTCTGTTCATATCCATCTATCTATCTATCCATCTATCCATCTATCTATTTTCAGTCATATCTCAGTGTGTTCATATCTAGATCTATCTATCTATCTATCTATCTATCTATCTATCTCCATCTATCTCAGTCTGTTCATATTATCTATCTATATCTATCTATCTATCTATCTATCTATCTATCTCAGTGTGTTATATCTATTCATCTATCTATTCATCTATCTATCCATCTATCTATCTATCTATCTATCATATCTATCTATCTATCCATCTATCTATCTATCTATCTATCTATCTATCTATCTAAATCTGTTTCCATTTATCTGTCTGTCTGTCTATCTATCTGTCTATCTATCACCGTCTGTTTATATCTATCTATCTATTTATCTATCTCAGCGTGTTCCTATCTATCTATCTATCTATCTATCTATCTATGTTTCCATTTATCTATCTGTCTGTCTGTCTGTCTGTCTATCTATCACCGTCTGTTTATATCTATCTATCTATCTATCTATCTATCTATCATCTATCTATCTCAGTGTGTTTATTATCTATCTATCTATCTATCTAAATCTCTTTCCATTTATCTATCTGCCTGTCTGACTATCTATCTATCTATCTATCTATCTAAATCATTTATCTGTCTGTCTGTCTATCTATCACCGTCTGTTTATATCTATCTATCTATCTATCTATCTATCTATCTATCTATCTATCTATCTCAGTGTGTTCCTATCTATCTATCTATCTATCTATCTAAATCTCTTTCCATTTATCTATCTGCCTGTCTGACTATCTATCTATCTATCTATCTAAATCTGTTTCCATTTATCTGTCTGTCTGTCTATCTATCACCGTCTGTTTATATCTATCTATCTATCTATCTATCTATCTATCTATCATCTATCTATCTCCGCCTTTTTTCTTTTCTTTCTTTTATCTATCTATTCATCTATCTATCTATCTATCTATCTATCTATCTATCTATCTATCTATTAGCCTTTTCTTTTTTGCTTTCTTTTCTATCTATCTTTCTATCATTTATCATATCTATCTCAGCCTTTTTCTTTTTGCTTTCTTTTTCTATCTATCTATCTATCTATCTATCTATCTCAGACTTATTTCAACTATTTACATGCGAACTATTATCCCAATCTTTCGGTCGTTTTACCCATCGGCCTTCATCAGGTGTATGTCGCCTCGGTATTAAATTTCTGTTCTTGTTTGATTTCGATATTTTTTTTGTTTTCCTTTCATTTTCCTTAACACTTTCTCTGTTGCTCCTTACATATCATACTCAGCATCCTTCTGCAGAACCACATGTCCGCAGTCCCAACTGTTCTTTTTGTCGGCGAGGAAATTGCCCGCCATCATCTGCCACATAAGAGGATTGATATTTTTTCTTTTTTTCATTGTTTCTAGCGATGTCAACGAATGAACTAATCAAAGTTTTAATACTTTGTCATAATTAGAGAAGCAATCTTCTAATGGGAAACCGATTCTTTTGTGCTCTCTTTTTTTTTTTAATTTGTAGGAGGGTGGGGAGCCTGTGTTATTAAGAATGAGTTTGCATATTTTTAATTATTCATTGGATGTAATTAGGTTAATTTGTTTGCTACTGACAACTAGAGATCTTTTTCTGATAGCATTTTTATCCCCCCTGTTTTGATGCTATTATTCATCGGGTTGCGATAAAATAAATTTATTATATTATTTTGTCATAATTACCGTGTTTTCTGATTATTGATTTTCTCGAGGACAAATTATATATGTCCTCCCCACAAACTAATTTGGAAATCCACCGTAGAGCGAGTGTTTATGTCATGTGACGAATTTCTTTGTTAAACAGATCAAAAGAAGAAAGTCTTAGTTGGGTCACAGTAATAAAGTTTGTTCTTTTTAAATAAACGTTTTCTTAACAATTGCGTATATATATATATATATATATATATATATATATATATATATATATATATATATATATATATATGTGTGTGTGTGTGTGTGTGTGTTATGTGAGTGTGTGTATAAGTTTGTGACCTCAATATCTCTGCAAGCATGTCTGTCTTGTGTTGTTGAGCAATGTGGGTAGGCCTTGATGTATAGAGTTATATAATAATTCTGTGCATGTTGTTAAATTTGTGGTTAAGCCCGTCTGGGCAAAGTGTTTTGAGGCGCAAAATCCATTTGTCTCCATGTTCCTCTCGTATTTTTCTCAGGTTATCTTTTCTGTCTATTTCTATTTTTTCAATTATAATGAATTTCGCATAGCTTTTCAAATCAAGTTTTCTTCTAAGCGGAAATGTTTTTCTACAGGTAACAATCATAATACACACACACACACACACACACACACATATATGTATATATATGTATTATGTTTATTTTAATACTGTTATGGTCCACGTTCCTTGTACCACGGTGATGGTCCAAGGTTAGAACCAATGAAAGAATAACACGAACACAGGTATGGAATACAAATATATATTACAACAGAAATATTATACAAAGAAGTAGAAGTATTAGTAATGACTATCAGATTTGGTTAGAGTGAACTATGTTGTCTCGATAAGTATCACTATTCCAATGTCCTTACAATATGCTCACAATTATCTCTCCTCGTCTTACAATCTCCTCATATCTCTTGAGAGGCGCAGTATTTATAATGTCAGGAATAGTCCATTATTATTATGGCTAAGTTCCCATAACAAATACCTATACTCGACTAGTATAAAAAAAACGGATAATACAATTTGGAAATAAAAAATATATATCAACAAACTGGAATCTGGTGAAAAAATTCGGAAAAGAAAAAAAAAAGACTAAAAACATGTGAGTCGGTCGAAAAAATCGCCAAACTTTGTAATGCCTAGCCAAAAGAAAAAAAAACAATCGTGTAAAAAAAGAAAGACGTAAAGGGCTCAATACACTAATTAGAGCTGAGTAAAAAAATATCCTCAGAAGCCAGAAACAACCTACCAATGTTTCACCTAAACGGATCTTCAGTTCGCCCTGACAATGAAGAATTAAGTAGACACACTAACAACCTCGAGCATCAATTCACAACACATGCTATAAACAACACCTAATCAGGGAACAAATAAATAAAGCAATTTCCACGCCTAAAGAAGACACCCTAATATATAAAATTAAAAATAAATCCCGATGTATCCCACGAGTAACCAATTTCAATACCACACTTCCTCCACTATCTCAGATAATCAAAAGTCACTGGGAAATAATACATCTCAAACCAGAGCTAAAAACTTTGTTTGAGGATCCCGACCTTCCAGCACATCGTAGACCGAAGAACCTTAAGGAAATTATAGGTAGTAACAAAATTTCAGATGATAAGCTAATCCATAATAGCCCAAAAATAAAAATTTTCTAACCATGCAACAAAAAAGGAACATGCTGTAACCACATTAGAGACACCAATTCGTTCACTAGCTTCAAAATCATCCACAACTCTAAGTCAAAACATTATGTACCTATTAGAATTAACACTATGCCAGAAACAATATGTGGAAAAATCTGAATGGCCCTTTCACTACAGAATTAATAATTATCGGAATCGGATCAAGTCGGTTCCCCAGGAAAGACTATTACCTGTAGAACAACATTTCCGCTTAGAAAAAAAATGATTTGAAAAGCTATGCGGAATTCACTATAATTGAAAAAATAGAAATATAAAAGATAACCTTAGAAAAATACTAGAGGAACATGAAGACAAATGGGTTTTGCGCCTCAAAACACTTCACCCAGACGAGCTTAACCACAAATTCACTATAATTGAAAAAAAAAAACAACATGCACAGAATTATTATATAACTTCATAAATCAAGGCCTACACACATTGCTCAACAACACACGCCAGATATGCTTGCAGAGATTTTGAGGTCTCACAATTATACACACACTCAGATAAATATATACACATACACACATCATCACACACACTCCCAAAGAACTGAAAGATAACATACGCTTAACACACACATCCCATTCCCAGCAACCAATAAAACTGCCAAAATGTCCAAGGAGGGAGTTCTGAAACTCAGGAATCTCCCACCATCTATCTTAAAAACAACTTGAAAGAGGCTGTTTAACCAGCATAACCAATATATATATATATATATATATATATATATATATATATATATATATTGAACAATAAAAATATTAAAATCTTCAGACACACTGGGTTGTACATTAATATTCCTTCGTTTTTATTATTATTTCATTTAGATTCCTCGGCTAGTTTCGGCCAACATGGCCATCATCAGGAAAAAAATAACTACAGAAATGAATGTCTTGCTGGAGAAAATGAACTTTTGTCTGTAGTTTCATTTGTTTTTTTTTATTTTTTAACCCGAATTTTGGTCAGTATTTGTGTTGGTCAAACAGTCTCTTTTAATTTGTTATTTGGGAGCTGGATGGACTCATGCTGCTCTGAATTCCCTTGGTCAGTTTGACAGTTTTATTGGTTCCTGAAAAGGTGATGTGTCTCTGTTAAGTGTGTGTGTTATTTGGTTCTTAGGGAGTGAGTGAGTATGATATGTGTAAGTGTGGATATTACTATGGATGTGCGTTATCATTTGGCTCATTAGGGAGTGAGTTAGTATGATGTGTGTAAGTGTGTATATTCGTGTGGGTGTGTGTATAAGTGTGAGACCTCAACACCTCCGTAAGCATGTCTGTCTTGTGTGGGTGAGAAATGTGGGTAGGTTTTGATTTGTGGAGTTATATATTAATACTGTCTATATTGTTAAATTTGTGATCAAGTCCGGGTGCATAGTGCGTTTTTAAACGTTGTATCCACTTATTTTCATGGAACTCTAAAATCTTTCTAATGTTATCTGCTCTGAACTTTTCTATTCTCTCAATTATAGTGAATTTGGCATGGGTTTTGAAATTATGTTTTTCTAGGCGGAAATGTTGTTCTACAGGTAATAATTTTTCATGGGAAGTCGACTTAATTCGCTTACCATAATTATTAATTCTGTAGTGAAAGGGCCATTCAGATTTTCTTACATATTGTTTCTGGCATAGTGTGCATTCTAGGAGGTAAATTATATTATGACTTTTACAGTTAGAGTGGTAGATTTTGAAAGTAGATTTAGTGAATGAATTTTGTGTGTCTAATGTGGTGGCAGCATAAACTTCTTTTGTTGTTACATGGTTGCGAAAATCCTATTGTTTTTGTTGTTAGTTTATTACGGATTATATATATATATATATATATATATATATATATATATATATATATATATATATATAGTGCTAGTATTAATAAAATAGTGCTCGATTTAATGCATATAAATCCTGTTTATTTTAAATACCAAATTTATTTTTTTAAATTAAGATAATGTAATCCCAGTATGATATATAACTGTGCCAATATTGAGATAGAGATACATTTTTAAACTAATTTACGTAACAGCCAGTCTATACTCAACACCTTAAGACTGCATTGTGCATGAAACAACATATCGTGATATCGCTGATGTATATATATATATATATATATATATATATATATATACTTTAAAATTCAGCAATTCAGTTGAATACGCCACCTAGGTTTTAACCTTACGGCATCCTCAGGCGATCTTTAGCAAAAAAGACCACAACTCTTTATATTTTAAAAGTGTAAAGCGTTAAGTGGTCATTTAAATAAAAATCGCCTGAGGATGCCGTAAAGTTGAAACCAAGGTAGCAGGTTCAACTGACCTCCTCATTTTTAAAGTTAAATGATCTACATGTTATTATTACTTTTATTTTATTTTTCACACGAGTAGTGAGCCCTTTTTAGTACTACTGTTTCCTGATCTGACTCAAATCTGACTATTAAGTTTTTACGTGATACGTATAATAGTAGTCTTTGAGCCTTTTTTTATTATATTGTTACTCTGTCCTGGACATTGAGTTCTACCTGGATTCTATCTTCTTAGGAATATATATATATATATATATATATATATATATTGACCACTAATATCTATCTATCTATCTATCTATCTATCTATCCACACACACACACACACACACACATATATATATATATATTTATAAATATAAATGACAATAGGAAAACTAGTTATTGCTGACGCGTTTCACATTGAACGAAACGCGTCAGCAATAACTACAGTTTTGCTATTGTC